TGAAGCATTTAACCAAAAGGAAAAGGTGGTACTGAAAGCTGGCAAAGTGTTATGTATGAAACCGTATCAGCAATTCTTGTAAACCACAGTGCAAATACTTTTTTTCATAAAGCACTTCTCCTAGAAGCAGACTGTTGGGAGGCAAATGGGAGTGGGTTGGAGGGCACTGGTGGAAGACATGAACACTGGTGACGGGTTGGTGTTGAAGCATTTTATGTCTGAAACTTTATGAATAACTTTCAAGTTTCATGATAACGAAATGTTTTTGAAAATCTATTGTCTTTCACTGGAAGAATCTTCTAGCAAGTCAGAAGAAGGGCTTTTCAATGCTGTCATTAGTTTCAGTACTCTGACATTTCAGCCAGAAGTAACTGGAGACCCTAATTTGTAGCTAATTTCTATGCCTGCCCTTGCCCTGCAGAGGTGGTCATGGACCCAGTTTTGGCATCACAATACGAGCATGATTTAGAGGTTGCTCAGACAACTGCTCTCCTAGAGGACCGTGACCTGTAGGAGATGAAGCTGGAGCCCAGCATCAGAAGTCTAATTTCATAGGCAACTGTCCTGTGGTATAGTGGTGTAGGGTGTTTGTCACTCTTATTATATAGCTGAGCAGAACATGTGCTTAATCTTTGAGGTGCTGAAAAATATGAATGGGCTTTAGAGTGAATGTGGCAGTTGAAAAGTAACTTTTTAACCACATATTTATCTGTTTGGGAACACAGATTTCACCTTTGAGTTTCAAATTTAAGACTGCTCCTTCAAATCTAAGATACCACATATTCGGTGGTTCCCATTCTTTTTCATTTCAAATATGAATAAAGTTGTATTTCAAACACAACTTCTCAGAACTTCAGGTAACTAAAGACTCAGATTGGGGAGACGTCTCTATAGTAAAAACACCAGTGTCATAAGCACCAGTCATTGGTCTCTGTTTAAAAAAGGTGAGAGCAATATTTCAGTAACTTGCTTTCTGAACAAATAGCGATGAGGAAAAGATCTCCACATTCCCTCCTGTCAAGGGAAAATAGAGCCTGCCCCAAGCTGGGCTGTCGAGCAGTCAGAGAAAACCAAGAGTCTCTAAAATCAAAATGATGCTCCAGGACTATAAGGCATCTGTGGGTCAATCTTGAGAAAATAGTCTTCCTCCCAACTGAAAATATGTTTAAAGTATAGAAGTACCCTTGAGGTGGTCATGAGTCTGCATTGCAAATAGTTCTGTCTGGGAACTTTTGCTGCTGTATTCCCCTGCCAGTTGTCTGCAGATGCTGCTCTTCCAACAAGTACTCTATAGAGTATAACTCAGGCCTTTGTTCAGAACCCAGTTCTGGAGCATGAGTTCTACTGGGTCCACTAGCATCATAAACTAAGTCTCTCATTTCTCATAAGCATGCTGCTTATTTTCTTTTCATTGACTTTGGCGAAAATTTTCTGCAACACTTTGAAGGGCCCAGAAAGATCCCAAACACTCTGGCCCCTGATGGCACTGGCAATGGTTTGCCTTGGAGATGTGTATGTCACCCCTGAAGAATGTGCCAGAGCAATCACCAACCCTAAGGTGTGTTTGATGGCTTCAAACCATCAAAGCTGAATCACATTCACATCCTTAAGCCTGATGTGGAGGAAGCAGGTACTTGGAGGAAGTTACAGGTACTTGATTATTTCCTTTTAACATTGAATTATCTTGAATAACTAGTGTTTCCTGCATGAAAGGCAGCACCCTACAATGGGTTCCCCCTGAGAAAGCTTTCCAGAGAATTGTCACTGTTATAGAAGCACCTGGAAGCTTATGAACCCAGAGGAACAAAGCTAAGTACAAGTGATGGTATAAGTTGCTGGGATCCAAGCCTGCCTTGATCAAGCAAATTGAATAGTGTTATAGATATTTTTGATAATTATTTTGAAAGCTCTGGAAAATTCTCAACAGACAAATTAAAATATAGACCCTTAGAATTTTAAAAGGCAACTCTTTGTGGCATAGAACCCTTATTAGGAGACATAAAATTCACTCCTGGACTTTAGTGGAGAGAATATCTTGAACATGATAGTATGTAGTAACTCAATGGGAGCTATGTATAGTGAACTGTTTTATTATATTATATAAAATCTTGGTGTTACACTATTTTCCTTCTAAACTTGTTCTACTCAGAAACCACCATATTCAGGAGCAATCATAACAAAACCTGAAAGCTAATCATAGTCTCTGTTACTAATGGCTCCGACACGCCCATTTTAGTTTCTTAGTCAGTCTTTTCTGCTTTAGAGGTTGCTATTAATATTGAAGACTCAAATATAAACATGATATTCCCTTGCCTAAAACTAAAAACTCTGCTATTTATTTTAGTGAAGATGGTTTTTCTTTTTAAATTTTTTTATAATAGCTGTGATGTACAAAGTTATTGATAGCTGAATTTTAGGCTGATAATATTTCAACACCAATCCCACCACCAGTGTCAACTTTCCTCCACCAATATTCCCATATTTCCTCCCTATCCCCACCTGTCAACTTGATAGGAACATTACAAATTTCCAGTGGATGCAGCTTAGATCATGTTTTTCAGTGTTGAGTTTGTGTTTTGAATATATGGCTAAACTACTCTCCCATATCACTAGAATAACTGAAGCCCTGGTGTCTGTTCATACATTACTTCCCATTTTCTTCTTCCTACCACCCTGAAGATAGTTTGTTCTTTTTGGGGGGAGGAGGGGTGTCACACCTGGCAATGCACAGGGGTTACTACTCCTGGCACTCAGGAATTACTCCTGGTGGTGCTCAGGGACCATGTGGGAGACTGGGAATCAAACCCAGGTAGGCCGCGTGCAAGGCAAACACCCTACCCACTGTGCTATTTCTCCAGCCCCCAAAGCAAGATAGTTTGAAATGAAACTTATTCAGAAAAATTTGAGAGGAAGCTTAATCTTCAAGCCTGTCTTCCTTGAACATGTCTATCACTGACTTGTTTTTTATGTATCTTTGCTTATTTTTCCACTCAAAACAAGCATGTGTTCTCTTGAATGTCACATCTAAGCAAATTTTATTTTAAAAATACATACACATACCCACACATAAGATGTGAAAAGAAATAGATGTTTGAAAGAACACAGGCTTCTTTAGAAAAGAAATGAGCAAACAGACACGCAAGCAAGATACATGTTTAAAGGAGACCCCAGTCTTGAAGAGTTTTCCTCCCTTTTAGTACAAGATAACCTCATGCTATAAAACCTATTGTCCCTCTATAGGTTGCTATGAGCAAAATCAAGCTGCTTGCAGTTTCACATACTCGTGTTTTATCTACAAAGAAAGGAACTTTTGTTTTATTACTTTTCACATGGGTAAATACTACTTTAAAACTTTCTTCAGGGTTCCTATTCCTGCTCCTGATTTGCTGTTGCTGTTGTAGAGTTCCTTTCTCTAGGCCTCATTCAAAGAAGTCTTTCGTGTCACCTGCTATATAGACTGAGGTAGTCTTGGAGTGGTCACCTTCAGAATCCAAAAGGAAACTGTTAAGGGATGACAGCTGTAGCAACGTGTCCTTTACTTGAAAGAACAGTCCAGCATGCCCTTAGTCACTTCCATTTCCTAGCACTAGATTGTTAGGCTAATGGGGGTAAGCTTCTGAGTCTTTGAATGGTCTACCTTTCAGTCCCTGAGGCACTGTCTTGCATCAAACTTCCAGTACTCTTGCCTTTTGTAGACTGGCATGATATTAGAAGCATTATGTAAACCTGGAGAGGTTAGCTACCTAGCCACTGGTTGGGTCAGAGTGATAAGAGTGGCAGAAAAACATGATAAGTATCTCCCTCAAAAAAAATGTGATTATATAGTTTGGGACAAACTTTTGTGCAAGGCAAAGTCCTTACCTGCTGTAGTATCTTTCAGACCCTAGAGGTAGTTTTTATGTTCTGAGTTTTGGGAAATACCTGGATATGTTCAGGGAACCTTACGAAGCCCTTGATATGGTGTGCAAGGCATTAACTTTTAAAAAATGATTGTGAGGTAGATTATGAGGCAAACTATTGCATTTCTAAGTCTTGGTTTATTTAGCTATTCTTTCCCCCAAATAACAAATTTTTTGGTTTGGGCCACACCCAGTAGTGCTCAAGGCTTACTTTTGGTTCTGCATTCAGGAATCACTCCTAGTAGTGCTTGGGGGACCATATGTCCCACAAGAAGGCTTATCTACTGGGCCTTGTTCCAGAGACTCATAAATGAACTCAGACCCTTTATTCCATTTTTATTTTTGTGAAAGGTGTTTATAAAGACCTCAACATCAAACTTTTTTAAAAAATATTTTATCAGTGAAACACCATGAGGTACAGTTGTAGACTTTAAGTTTTTGTGTTTGGGTTTCTGTGATACAATGATGGAGTACCCATCCCTCCACCAGTGCCCATTCTCCACCCCCAATGATCCCATTCTCTCACCACCACCCCTCCCCGTGGAAGAGCATTCCCTTTTGTTCTCTTTTTGTGTGCTGTGGTTTGCAAAAGAGGGATGAGTGGCAATTATTAACATCAAACTTTAATTCATAGAGGAAAGCATAGGCAGAACTCATGACATTGAAGCAAGAAGCATCTTTAAGAAGTCAATACCATTGGCCAAGCAAACAAGATCAATTAAAAAGCCACATTAAATTAAGCTTTCTCACCTCAAAGAAAATGGTGATCAAGCTACAAGACACCCCTGAAAACTGGAAGGAAACAATTTGCCAAGCACTCATCTGATAAATGATTGATATTCAAGATCTATAGAGCTACACACGAGCACCAAAACCCAACCACGCCTACTCCCCCAAAGAACTACATTTCCCGACATGCTTTGCCTGCCGTGAAAGCACCACCCGCGCCTCTCGCGGTCCCCTGTCCGCCTGCTCGGGACGTTGGCGCGGTGTTTGATGGGAAATGTAGTTCCAGCGCTCGCCTTTCCGGCCCCGGCACACGGAGCCCAAACTAAACTTCCCAGAAAGCCGCGCGCGGGCGGCGGCGGGGAGACGCGCACGATGGCCGACTCGGAAGAAGGCGACCTGGGCCCGGCGGCCGTCCCCGCAGCTCCAGTTTCCTTCAGCTTCAGTCGCAAGACGTCCCGGAGGCGACTGGCGGACTCTGGAGGAGACGGCGCGGCCCCCCCGGAGGAAAAGGATTTCTTGAAGGGCGTGGAAGGGAGGGAGCTGCTCAGCGTGAAGCCCCCAGAGTCCCGCAAGCCACTGGCCATCCCTGTGCCCCAGAGTGGCCCCCGGCGCGCACAGCCCCCGGCCCAGCCCCGGGGACAGCCCGCAGAGGAGCCCTGGGCGGAGGGGGTGCTGGCGCAGGCGGTCAAGGAGTTGATTGAGGAATCCAGGAAGTCTCTGGAAGAGAGGGAGTCGGCGGAGGGCCACCCCGCGCTGGCCATCCCCGTGACTCAGGAAGGGGCGGGCAGCGAGCCCGTCGCGGAGACCAGGCCCGAGGAGGCCAACTACGAGGCGGTCCCCGTGGAGGCCTACGGGCTGGCCATGCTGAGGGGCATGGGCTGGAAGCCCGGCGAGGGCATCGGCCGCACCTTCCGGCAGGTGGTGAAACCCCGCGTCAACGCCCTGAGACCTAAGGGCCTGGGGCTGGGGGCCAACCTGATGGAGGTCCAGAGTCTGGTCCCTCCCCAGCCCCAGCGCCCATCCAAGCCGAGTGAGGAGCGTCGGGGTGATGAGAAAGAGCAGCCCAAGGAACTGGTACCCGGAGGAGCAGTGGTGGTGCTCTCCGGCCCGCACCGAGGCCTCTATGGGAAGGTGGAGGGCCTCGATCCCGACAACGCGCGAGCCATGGTTCGTTTGGCCGCGAGGAACTGCATGGTAACTGTGAGTGAGTACTGCCTGCGGCCCGTCTCCCAGCAGGAGTTTGACAAGAACTCGGACCCCGGACAGGTCGACAAAACTTCTTCCCCCGCACAGCAGAACGGAACAGGCTCGCGGGAGCTGAACCACCGGGAAAACTCAACTAGGAAACGGAAACACCTTCCAGACCACCAGGGAGCACCTGTCGCCAAGGTGAATGCCACCACAACCTCCAGGACTCAGCACTGGCTGCACAGGGACCTGCGGGTGCGCTTTGTGGACAAACAGCACAAGGGCGGCCAGTATTACAACACTAAGATGACCATCGAAGATGTCCTGAGCCCGGATACTTGTGTGTGTCGGACAGATGAAGGACACGTCTTGGAAGGGTTGAGGGAAGACATGCTGGAGACTCTAGTCCCCAGGGTTGAGGGCCACCGGGTGATGGTGGTGCTAGGACCCCAGGCTGGAAAGGTGGGCCGGCTGCTAGGTCGGGACCAAGCACAGAGTCGGGCCATGGTGCAACTGCAGAGGGACATTCAGCTTCTGGAGCTTCACTATGATTCAGTCTGCCAGTATGTGGGCCCCAGTGACATTGAGGATGACTGAGCCCCACCCTCTTATTCCTACCCCTCCGGAAACACTGTCTACTTTGAGTGGGAAAAGAACCTCATTCCTTCTTCTGTGTACAGGAAGGTACTAGCCAGATGGGCTGGAGAGCTTAGCGGGCTAGGCGCAGGCTTGTATGCAGGAAGCCCGGGTACTATCCTTGCCACCATATGGACCCCTGAGCAGCATCTGGAGCAACCCGGTGGCTGGTGCAATGTGATGAGGTGCTGCTAGGGCTCTCTCAGTGGGGGGATTACCTGGGGCACTCCTGTGGTGCTAGGAAAGTTTCCAAGGCCACACCAGTGCTGGGGGGAACCATATGGCACTGGCGGCTGGCCACATGCAGACAACCTAACTGTCCCCTTCACTTACTATCACAGGTTTCTTAATTAGGCTCTGATAAATAGAATGTTGTATTTCTTTCTCCTTGATTTTGGTTATTAAAGTAGTCATGTCTGTTAAGCCTACCCGAATTGCTTTCATGTGCGCTCTTACATTATTGGCCCATGATTAGATTAGAAATTATTTCTACATCTCAGTAGTCTGGGATGAATTGCCCAAACTAGCACTATCTTAACTCATTTGATTGAAAGGGTTACTATCTACCAAATTAGACTAAACCCATTCATTCCATTGCTCCCATGAGCTTTCCATCTAAATAGGTTGTACTATTGGGCTGGTGGGAGGCGGGGGAAAGGGGAAGTTTTTCTTCAGGAGTAATCAGAGGCCAGGATTCATGACTCAAGTGTGCCCCAAATTTTCAGCTGTACAAAAAGATACCAGGCTGGGGCTGAAGAGCTAGTGCAGCAGGTAGGGTTTGCACATGGCCAATCAGGATCTGATCCCCAGTATCACATTTAGTCACTAAAGTACCACCAAATGGTACTTTCGTTTTGGGGCCACACCCAGCAGGGCTCTGAATACGGAGCCAGGAGTAAGTTCAGAGCCCTGCCGGATGTGGCCCCAAAACCGAAACAAAATTTCCAGCCGTTCCCATTCTCAGATATTTTAAGGAGATGAGAGTAAATTGATGAGCCTTGAAGAGAATGAAGGGACAGGGTTGATGAAGACACCAACTCCAGAAGCACCATTATTGGATAAGAGACAATGCCAGAAATGCCCAAACAACGAAAACGATGGAAAATCCCTAACAAAAGACCAAGGAAGATAACCCAATTTGGGATCCTACACAAGATACTCCTCATCTTGCGTGTGTGGAGTCCTGGTTTTCCGTTCAGGAATTTAACTGGACTCATTGGCCCCAACATTTGTTAGAACTATTCAAGCATCTACCGGCAGAGGGCGCCTAGGAATCATAGAAAAAGTGACTCATGAAACCAACACAGCATTTACTAACTTGCCTGAAACACAGGGGCTCAAAGTATGAAACATAATATAAAATGTCACTATTTTAAAGGAACATTTTTGCCACAACAGTGGCACAGATAAAAGGAAAACAGTCAACTAGGAGCCATTCAATTTCAAAACATTCTGCTCAGCCAAAAATTTGATGTTTTTGTTCTAGGGCCTCACCTAGCGGTGCTCAGGAATTATTCCTGCCTCTGAACTCAGGGAGCATTCCGGGAGGGCTCCAGGGACCATATTGGATGCTGGGGATTGAACCTGGGTTGGCTGTGCTCAATAACCTACCCACTGTGCTATCAATCACTCCAGCTCCAAAAAGTTTATTTAAAAAAAAATTTATTCCACCTCTCCCATATTGTCATCCTATGTTGATTTGTCATTAATGTATATTTCACTGACATTTATTGTTGAAAACTTCGAGGAAGCTTTTAGGAGATAAAGTCAAAATCACCTTTGTTGGGGAGCTGGGGGCAGTCGAAGCATAGGTTGCCCCAACCCTATTTTTCTGGCTCCTCCCCCTGCCATGTTGGGTAAGTGAGAGAATTCATCCAAAGTGATTAAAAGTCAAATCTACCTTAGTCCTCAATTCAAACTCTGGCCTTTCCAGTGACATGTGTGGTGAGAGTTTAACAGGAACTAACCACATGGAGAATCACAGGATTGTTCCCTGAGGAGAAAAGCAAACACACACAGGATCTCAAAAGGGATCAGCAGACTGGAGGGCACTGAAGATAGAACAATCTTAGGACCTATGCAGGAGAAGCCAAACAAGCAAGCTGGGCAGTAAGGAAAGCAGAGTTATTTGGGAGACTGAAGTGCAAGGTAATAATCACTCATCTACTAGGAAAGACAGTGGCGAGAATTAGCAGGGTGGTCAGGAAATGAACATCTCCACAACTGTCACCTTTTCATGCAATGCAATTAATATTTGGCTTTCAAATTAGACTTGGAGTTCAATTCCTACGACCTCTTGTAAGGAGACTGGGCGATTCACTTCTTAACAGACGCCTTCCCAGGACTAGTTGAAATTCATTTATCTGGCAGTGGTTCAATATTTCAGTGTCCCCCCAAGTAATTCAGAGGAAATACAAACAGTTGTGATGCCTCAGTAAAAATTGTGTCAGTTCTAGTTTATGAGGTGACAGGGAGTGATTGCTTCACTGAAACAGGTATTCTAATTAAGTGGATCTAGATTTTATTAAGGAAGGTAAGTACAAGTGTCCTACATATCCTAGGTAACAAGCTACCACCTTTAACTGGTTTTGTCTTATGAGCACAATCCAAATTAGATGAGTATTAAGCCACAAAAGTAAATATCAAAATGTTCCAAATTATGACATACTCCACCTTTTTATGTCTTATTTGGTCATTTAATCTGATGCAAGTGTGTACATGACTAAGTTTATGACTTTTAACTCGTCATCTACCCATGCCAGAAGGGTCTGTTAACTTAATGGTAGAAACTGCTCATCACTCACAGCTGACATGAGTCAGTGTACACAGTTGAACTAGCAGACGGAACTTGGGACAATAAATGACTGTTCCCCTAAGACGTGTAGTTTCTTGTTGAGTAAGAAGTGACAGCTATCTGACTGTGTGGCTTAGAGATTCCGGTTAATATTTAGAGGATACACAACTCTGAACTACAATATTATATGAAATATTCTTTTTCCAGTCCTATGTATACAATGTTTTGAGTATCATGCTTACTATAATTCTCGCAAAACATAACTATGATAGTGGTTAATTTTTTAATTAGGCACAAGAAAACAGACTTACTATGTTAAAATAAGAGTTGTGATTGAGGTCTCAAAATTGCGTCTCACTGTATATAATATTTGTCAATGATGGCTTGCCTGGATAACTGATAATTTCAGTGGAAATTAAAACAATGGGAGATGGGGGGGATCAACTGCAAACATTTCACAACCTCCAAGAACAAGTCTGTAGATTGGCAGGTGATTGACTTAATATGTGGGCTTCATTTTCCACTATGGAGTAAAGAAGTTATTCTTAGTTGTCAAGGAATACGTGATCCAGCGTACAGAAAGCATTCAGACGAAGGTTCAGTATAGTTGGTATTCGTGGTCCACAATGATGACTTAGTGAATATGAACACCATAGTTTTATGTCCACATGAGTAATTATACAAGTATAGACTAAAAGCTACTTATAAGAGAATAAGAATCACTGATCCCCCTCAGGCACTGGTGTTTATAAACAAGTGGGGGGAAAGGTTGGTGGGGAGGGAGAAGGAATGGGGCACAAATGTGAGCTGGGATAAAAAGTGATCGTGTAAAAGCTGACAATTAGAGCGTTAACTAGCATCAATACAGTCGAAACACCGAGAACCCTAAGAGAGGGTTTCTATAACAAAGCAGTATTTAAAACTGCTTTGAATTGACCAAAAGCAAAATAACTGGTAGAAATGTCAGAACAGCCTAGTAGAATGAAACGTCAAAAGCAGTAGGCAAGGGGGGAACTCAGTATGCTATACACTGAATAGATATGTCTGGTTTCCTTAACCTTAGAGATTTTCACATTTATACCAAATGTTGAGTTTCCCTCCCCGCCCCGAGCAAAGCCCCGGCAGCCGAAGACTTCCAGAACCAGCCACAGCCATGCTGAGACTACTCCACACGTCCGGACAAGCCTCATGCATGAAAGAACCGGCAGAGGAACCCAGGCATGTGGGTCCCGGGGCTGAGATCGCCAAGCCTGCTCGGATTGGGACTGGGCCTTCTCCACCCAGATGCCCCAATCTTCCAGTAGGTAGGCGTCACACACACCAGCTGCCACTGGCGCCAGGTGGTCCCATCAACGGCCAAGACCCAGAGACTATAAAAACCAGCTCCCGGAAACGACATCTTTACTTTGGAGAACCCGGCAGGCTACCAAAAGTATCCTGCCCACACGGAAGAGTGGCAAACTTCCCGTGTCGCACTCAATATGCCTAATACCAGTAACAATGATGGGTCTCATTCTCCTAACCCTGAAAGAGCATTGAATATGGCTCTTTTAAAATCTCAGGGCTAGGAAGGAGGAGACGTTACTGGTGCCTGCTCAAGGCAATCAATGATCGTGACTGTAACCAAATATTAGTACTGTATAGATTGCTTGGGGGGGTCCTGTAACATTCTGGAACTCCTACTTACGAGTAGATCTAATGTCGACTACTATATAATCAGTTTTCTTTATCTCTATGAGAGGCATAGAAGCCTCGGTTTTAAAAATATTCTAAGGGCTGGAGAGATAGTACAGTGGGTAGGGCACTTGCCTTGCACATGATCAACCAGGGTTGGATCCCTAGCATCCCAAATGCTCCCTGAGCCCGCCAGGAGTGATCCCTGAGTGAAGATTTAGGAGTAAGACCTGATCACTGCCATGTGTGGTCCAAAAACCAAACAAAACCAACCTCCAAATCTACCTGAAAACCAAGAAGTGGGTTCAAATTATGTCTCCCTAGAGCTCAAGGGACTTAACTTTCAACCCAGTTGCAAAAATTTAGACAATTCCTTTAATACTGGCCATAAATGAAAAGAAGCCCTAGAAAACTAAATTCCAGACTTTCAGGTTAGTGAGCTGAAAAAAGTCCCGTGAATCACAGTTGGAATTTCATATGAGGAAGTTTCTATTTCTAGGTAGGTCTATTACTCATTTGCCTAAACCTTACAAGATTTTTGACCAGCAAAATATTGGCTA